CTTCTACACCATTCATTTGACACGCAGTGTAAAGTACCCTGCTCTATTCAGCTTTGCAATGCAAGGGGGTGCCTTTCTCTCCTGAAAGGTAATACATTTTTCTGAGGGCAGAGGTGGTGTCTTACACACTTCTGTTTCCCCAATGTCCTAGCAATGCTATGGTCAAAGTGGGAGTAAAATAACGAGCTGCAGTAGGAAGAAACAAACCACATTTGTAAGTGATGCTTTGCTTGTATATTATAGGTGATATCAGTGATGATGATGATGATGCAAATTAATGTAAAGGGAGAGATGAGTGCACACATCTTGAGAAGCAAATCTGGGGACAGAAGGAGAATGGTGGTAGAAGGAGACGGGCCAAATACAGGAAAATCAACTGGTAGGGAAAGCTTAGAGGTAAGAGACCCTTTGTCTTCCACCCGGGAGCCTGGGCTGAGGGGGCCTTGGGACAGCATGCCATGGAGAAAAGCCTCACTCTTCACTGGGAGTCCCTCCTTTAATGTTCTGCACTAATGCTGTGCAGTGAATAAGGAGAGTTGAAGGACCAAAGGAGAAATCACGATTTTGGCTGAGAAGGAGAGAAATAGGAATCCAGAGGTGGAGTGGAGAAGTTAATTTACCCCACGAATATGTATTGAATGAGATGGGTGTGCTGGGGGATGGTTTTTGCTATAATGGAGGGACATACGTGGTGCCATAGGAATGTGGAGAAAATCACCGAGTGTGCGTGGGTGAATCGGAGTGGGCTTCATAGAAAGCGGGGAGCACGATTGGCTCACCTGACAGACAAGCCATGAAACTGTGAGAACCCAGAAGCTGCACACACAAAGGCCTGGCATGCAAGGACTCTGTCCACCTGGCAATCGGCTAGTGGCTGACAGCGTTGGGGCACAGAATCCGTAGGAGGAAAAAGAACAAAACTTAAGTCAGGAGCTAGGCCATGAAGTGCCTTGCGTGCTGGATCAGAGCAGGGTATAAGAGCAGCAACAGGGCTAAGGACGCCTGGGGAGGAAGAAGGATGTGAAGTGGGGCCCCCGATTAGGAGTTTATAGCAATAGACTGTGGAGGAAATGTGGAGAAGCCACATGGGAGGGTGGCAATGTGGAGGGAAAGGAATGACTTGAGAAATGAGAATTTCTAGGGTTTGGGATCTAACAGTACTTTCGTGTTAGAGGGAGGATGCTGGCTATTCATATTTCCACAGGTAGAGATGCACAAGGAGTGTGGATGTGTAGGGAGGCAGAAGAGAGTGACTGTGGACACACGGGGGTTGTTCCTGTGGGACCCCAAGGGGGCCCTCCCAGTATGGCACTCAGGAATCTGCTCTGGGGATAGAGAACTGACAGAGAATGCAAGATGCTTAGGGTGAGATAGGGAAGAGACCCCTGAACAGGAGCAAGGGGAAAGGTTTTAAGCAAGTCAATATTAAGAAGCTGTGAAAAACCTCTTGAAATTTCAGTTAGTATAATTTTTTATATTTTTCTTTATGCAACTAAAAACCACAAAAGTGTTATAAAAACTGGATATAAAATAAAGGCTTTAAAAATCATTTAGTGTGAAACTGGTAATTACTTTTAATTCCTATGACTTATCAAGTGTCTTGAGTATATGAGAAGTTTGGTTAATGTCAATAACATATTATTCCATACTTTCTTATTTACATTAAAAGGTAAGTTATCTTCTGGTTAATTCCTCTTGAAAAGCACTACCTAATTGTCAAACATTAAATACGGTAAAATTCTTAATCCTCAAATGACATAGATAATTCACTAAACTGAAAAAAAGAGGGGACTTGAGAGTCCAACATAATGAAACCTGAGGTGGTAGTGGTGTAAGAACATGCACAGATCTGGATGGATTCCGACCCATCACCATGACATTCAAATTGCTCCACAGTAAGCGAAATGCGAGCCAGGAACATGCCCTGTTGTGGATACAGACAGCGAGAGCTTTGAGCTGCGGCTTCTAAGTCGGCTTCCAGAGGACATACTAACTTTATTTATTTCCTTCCAAACCCTAAAGGAGAAATAAGCGACTCAGAATTTCAGAGCCTGTTCTTTAGGTCTCTGTTTAAGAAGGAGGGTCCGGAAAAAATAATTACCTGGTATTGCCTTTCCCAGACTTCACAGAATACCAGTAAGAAGAGAATGTTTAGAATGATATTAATACTATTTACTCTGAACAGCCAAGTTGTTTAACTATATAGACAGATTTATCCAAAGAGTATGTATTCCCACATAGGATATTACACAAATATTTTAGAAGGCTATGTCAAATAATATTTGATTGAAAAATATTTTATTTGGTTGGAAGTCAATTACTCTTCCATGGGCTTCCAGATCTTACTGTTTACTTGCCCAAAATTGGAAGAATACTACTTCTACACATTTGGCTTCCATTCTACAAAGAAAGGGAAACTTCTAAAACTTTAGGCTCATTGTCTTCAGCCGACATTAGCTGGTGAATTTCTCATGAGTAAGGGGCACTGTGATCCTCTTAACAATCCAGAAGGTAGTAGTAAATAATTTTGAGTTTCTAAGTGTTTAATTTGTATATTTTAAGAAACAACAAATCAATCAGTATATATTATTCCACATTTTCACAGAGCTTATTAAGACAGCATTTCCAATTTGAAACCAACTCTTTTACGTCAATATCATGTATAAAACTATTATTACATACCCGACAATTATTTTATCAGTATATATTAGTAAACTACTCCAAAGACTAATGTGCTGTCATGTAGCATAATGTAAACATTATTCAACACAGCTTGAATTTTCAATCAACTTTAGATACTGTGGTATTCTGTGAATTAAACTCTAGAGGTTTTAAGTGATTCATTTTATCATAAACACTCAATCCAAAAAGATGATTAAAATAATTGAGATAAGGCTTGATTGTAAGGATAAACAGCCTTTTTTTTTCTAGTAACATCTGTGGTAATAATATGCTATCATTTAAACCAACTAGGATGACTCACCATCTGTGGGTAAATGTAATTTTAGTAAATGTAATCTTTTCTAGTACTGGTGATAGTTCTTTTTTTTTTTTTTTTTTAAACTGAATCATCCTTCCTCTATCCTTTTGCAACCATGAAGTGAGATGGCAAGCTGAGGTCAGGAGTACAACTTCTTGCTATGTTCCAGAACCAATTAACTGGCCCACTTAAGAAATTTACCCATGACCTTGGCCTCAATAGGATCTTGCTCTAAATCAGAGTCAACTTGCCTGGGACCCATCATAGATCAATTATTTTCTCTATGTAGCCATAATTCTGAAAAACGAAAAGAGTTTCATTTTTGTTTATATGTTACTGTCTCAAATATAAATGACATTTTATTTTTGAACATAGTATAATAAATGAACAAATATTAACATACAAGTACTTAGCCAGCACATTGTAATTCATTTTGCTTTAAGGTAAGTATTACAGTGAACTACAAGATTAACCTTCCCCAGACTCCATTGCAGTGTCCTTTTTTGGTGGCCTTGATATTTCTACTTTGTTCCTGACTGAGCTTAGACACCAAGATCCATCACTTCCTGGGACTAGCCACTCTAATCCTCATGGATTTTTTTGTACTGGTTCACATGGTATAGTCTACATAAATTTGAAATAGTTCAAAAAAAATCCCACAAAAATACCCCCAAACCAACCAACAAACCAAGGTCTTACTTTATGTAAAAATGGAAATAATATGAATTCTCTATATTTAAAAAATTATCTGGAATAGGAACACATCCAAGCTGGAGGACCCAATGAACTGTAACCTGTTTTTATGCTATTACCACATGGTGGTGCTACTTTGGCTGATAAACAGAACACTTGCCATCTTTGCTCAGTACATGTGAATCTCACCGTTGTTTATGTACAGTGGAACTTCTGTAAGTGATTATGATGACTAATGTGCTGTTATTTTACAAACTCTGTTATTATAATTGAAAATATTTTTATATCCTACAACAACATCTCTCAAGCATTCATTAAGTAGTGGTTCTAGTGATAGTGCTGAACAACACAGCCCCCAGAAACAGTAACACTGGAACAGACGTGAGTTGTGATAAAACACTATGAAGGCCAAATATCCACTATGACCTCCTGTGTTGGTAATTTAGGTGAAAGCACTCTAAAAAATTAGAGCTAATGAAGAAAAAATTAAAAAGAACAGTAAAGTAAAAGTAAGCTGCAATGCTGTACATTCATGCATTCCCCCAAAGGATCTCTTTTACATCTTTTCTTATGGGATAATTGGTCTTGAAGTATGAGTTTTATATTGTGAGACTGCTTCAGGAATATATCTATCACACAGATGTAAATGCCTTCTTCAAATACAGCATTTCCCCCACCATCTCCATGAAGTGCATCTCTTTCCACTACTACATCCCAGGCACACAGTAAACAGTGCAGCAATCATGAATGTGGGCTGTGGAGCTAGATTTCCTGGGTTTCAATCTCCAGGCTCCATCATTTTCCAGTTGTATGGCCTTGGCTAAGTTTCTTAACTTCACTGTATATCAGTTTCCTCATCTGAAAAATTAGGATGATACCACTACCCACCTTGAAGGGCTGTGGTAGGGACTGAATGAGTTTGATATAATACATTTAGAACCTGTGTGGCACCTGAGTTAATATTATGTAAATATTAGCTACTGTTGTGATCATCTTCATCATCACCTTCCCAACAACTCGTGATGATACTTTTAAGGCCGAATTTGTTTCACTGGGTTAAAAAAATAAGGTGTCCTTTTATTAACAGTATATGAATTATAGTGCATGCCATGGTTGCTTGTAGGATATGCAGTGGTATGAAAGTATTAATGCTTCTTTTGCTATCTTCTTTTGAAAAGCTCTCAGAAACCTTTGTCACAGTTCTGAGGAGCCCTTCTAGTCTATGTACTGGGTAAGCAGCATGATTCTGGATAGGGCCTGCTCAGACACTAACATTTACATCAAGGGACACAGCAGTGTCAAGTGGACATTTCTTTAGCCATCTTACCTTCAGTCTGTCTTTGGGCAGCGCAATGACGCCTTGCTTAATGATTTCCAGGACCCGTTCCACTGACAGCTCAGCTCCAGCTTGCAGCAACCTTGAGCTAAAGAAGGTGATCACCTGTAATGTAAAGTGTTATTTTTTAAAACAAGACGTATGAAGTGTATTTTTAGTAGCTGCCTTCCTCACATGGTAAACTATCACGATTCCATTCCTACAGTGACCTGGCTTTTAATTCACTAGCCCTCCTAAATAGTTTGTTCTCTGTTGGGTTTGATAGCCGAATCAGAATTGCGCAACCCCTCCAATATCCAGGGCTGATTATTCATTCTGTGAATTAAGTAGCCTCCTGAATTCTACTCTTTCTTGTGCTGCCCAACCTTGCATTTACATTTCATTTATTGAGCAGTATCCAACAGAAAGTGGGGAGAGAAAGCTAAACCCTAAAGCCTATCACTTTTGAAGCTTAATAGTAGCTCTCTCTCTCTCATAAGGGCTTAACAGGAAAGAATTTGAAACTAATGGCCAAAATGATGTTTTGGGGATTATCTATGAATTTAGCCACATTTCCCTTATCGTGATCACCAGGGATAACGAATAGCAACCTATAATTACTTTTGCTTCATGTTATAGCACAGCCCAAAGTATGTAGCAAGATATTAACACAGTAGCATTCTGGAAATACACTGTTCCTAAAGATTTGTCACTAAAAAATGAAAACAAAACATCATTTTTCAGCAAATTATTTTTAAAACCACAACGTTCATAAATCAAGAAGACTGCAGATCCCTTTTAAATTCAAGAAAATAACATTTAGGTGTTTATAGTCAGACATGCAAAAATATAAAAAATTATTGTGTTTTTGTAAAGTTGAGCATTGCCTTTTATGTCTTCTATTTCATAGGTATAATATATTAAGTTACAAACAATCCTTCACAAACATTTTTATGCATTTTCTTTCAGAATTACTCTCCTAAATGCTAATTGTTTAAGAGTACAATAACTTTTCTCTTAACAATTCTAGTGGAAAATACACTATATTACATAAATGCCACCAAATGCATTTGTTCTGGAAGGTAAAGAGACTTAGCTGGCGCCACGGCCATTAACAAGCATGTGCCTCACAATTCTGTGGCAACGAGTGAGAACAAAGGCAGCTCATGGCTGGTGACACTGCTTGTGATTCCAGTCAAACCATTTCTTTATCTCAAGCAGTTTGCTGGCACCACCAGCTCCTTGGCAAGTTGCTTATTTTGCCCACAAGTTGCTTTTCTGGTATGTGCCTATGGGCCTTGTTCTTTCCTATGTCGGATTTCAAGTTCTTTTTGAGTTTCTGGGATTAATATTTTGTTCACAGAGTTTAGACACAGCAGGTCCAAAAACTGATTTTTATAATACAGTGAATAAGTCTTTGAAGAAAGACACAACACAGATAGCAAAACATATTGTAATAGATTACAATCCTATTTTTAAAATATGCAACAACAAATACACAAAATAAATGCTTTCCTTTTGTGTAAATATCTTCACAGGTTGTAAACACGAGCATAGTTTTTCTGAGAAAAGAATTGGTTAACCATATAAAATGCCAATTTTGTTGGTAAAAAAAAAAATGGTTTAATGTTCGAAATTTTATATGGGTCAACCTAACACCTATGCATAGTATTATCTTCTTTGACCAAAAAATATTTAAAGAGTAAGAGCATATCTGTTAAAAATACATTATAAAAAATAAAAAAAATGATAATTAAAAAGTAGATAGATGTTACAGATGCTTGAGGCTTACTGAATTTTTTTTTTCTTTCTAACATGTGCTGAAAGCTATTTCACTACTGGATTTTTGTTTTGTTTATAGCAGTAGATAATATAGACAAGGAGTAGTTCTCAAGCATGGCTGATCATCAGAAGTAGCTGAGAAGCCTTGTGAAATTCTGATCCCAGGGCCTGGTCAGGGACCTTCTATTACACATCAGACTCTCCAGGTGATTTTGATGATCAGCCAAAATCTAGACCACAGGTTTCCAAACTTTTCAGGTTATATACATCTACAAGTAAAAAAATGAGGATGTGCTTGCAATATATGTTCTAGTTTTTTATAAATCGTGCAATATTCTACAGCAGTAATGTTTTACATATTATGAAATGTTCATAAAATAAATTTAAAAGAACGAGATAAAGATAAAATGAATTAGATTTAAAAAACCCGATGATACAAAACACGGTTTTTGTACTCACTAAAATGTCATTGAATATAATCTGGGTAATTACAGATTACTAATCACAGTGGTTTCACATGACCATCAGCAAGCACAGTATTCACCTGTGGTAAGATCCATCATTTATTACAGTGAATATAAATCCATAGTGCCAACAGTCTTCCTGATAACTTTTATGGATCCATTTGCTGTGAGATTAGACTGATTCATCACTGTTCTTCCCTTGTAATGTGGCACTTGTCCCAGGAGCAGGGGTATGTCAGCTCTGCCATTATCTTTTGTCATATGTGCTTACATTTTTCCATCACCTTCAGTGTGTGGGGAAACATGCTGTTTCATGAGGGTTTAACTAAATCCAGATACTGTAACCAGGAACATACATACTACACTAAGCTTTATGTGAATGAACAGGTGAGTGCATGTATGCCAAGCCCTATGAGTTGAGGAACTTCTATCTTCTCCCTCGGGATATCTGGAGTACTGAAGCTGACACAGCCCTGGCAGGTTGTAAAGGCCAATACTATTATTAAAACTAAATCTCTTTATTTTTAGATGAATAAATAAAAGCTCTAATATTTTCTTTCCATGCTTCTATGGACGAACTGTTAGTGCAATATCTAGGCGCATGTGCAGCCATCCGCTTTGATAATCACTAATCAAGATAACAAAATGCACATAATCAAAGCTAAATGTAACTAACAGTATTCACATACTACTCAAAGACTTGACAAACCAACAAAAGGGAGTGTACTTATGTGTCACACCACCAAGAACAAAGTAATGCAATGACAGTTTTGCTTTGTTGACTCTGAGGCCTATACTGGCTTTCCTCTAAGCCACAAGGAATTTCCATTTCCACTGGGAGAGCTGCAGAGTAGGCATGAGGCTGGGTTTCTAACTAAATTCCTTTTTCAAACTGGTTCTCATTTGTATGTTTTAAAGCTGACATTCTCATGTTTTTGCATTCAAACTCACACGATTTTAGAAAATGATAAAACTACCACTTGCAGAAGGGAAGTATAATTTATGTATCAAAACCGAAGAAACAAATCTATCCTGAATGTTTATCATGGACTGTGTGCTGTACACATACTATTGATTTAATTCTCATGACAATCTCACGAGGCTGATAAAAATCTCTGTCCTACAGAACCGTAAAAAGGATCAGAGAGACAAGAAACTAGACTGGGGTGACCCAGGCAAGTGGGAGGAGCAGGGCTCTAGCTCAGGTATTTCTTCTTATTTTATCATGTCTCTGGCAATTCCTACGTAGCAAAATGGAGCACTAGCTTAGTTTTTCAAATAGGCGATATCTGAGTGAAAGGTGTAAGTTGTTTAGCCAAACCTTTCAGATGTTATTCGATTGCAACATCACCAAAGAATGTGAGACAATTCATTCAAAGATATGAGCTTCTATTTCCTACTCCCAGGTTATAATTTTGCACATAATAGTACTTTTAGTGATGATGACTACAACAGATGTGTGGCTTTTATCAATTTGTATAGCAACCATTAAAACTGTTAAAATAGATGAACTTTTATTCCTCTGAAAATCTCTGCATGAGACACAGCCAATAACAGAAAAATTTAAGTAAAACCTTTAGTGAAAGTGGAGATGAATGCTTTGTCAGTGTAATTCAAAGACAACCTCTCAAAGGAAGGTACTTTTCCACAGTGCATGTTTTACAACCCTCCTCTACCTACCATATTTGGCTGTAACTCATGAAATCTAGGTACAGCACATTACCTTCCATTATGCTATTAGCTTTGAACAGTGATTGCCCAATGTCATATACTGATAAATCAGTTGTATACTTTGAGTAATGTCAAATCAAATTTAACCACCTGTCATGAAACAAGTGAATGATTATTATTAATAGATCACAGATTAATAGAAACGAGAAGCTTTTCTGGAGTAGAGGAGGGTGAAAAGGAGCTAGTATGTACTCATCAGGCAAACATGCTTGCTTGCTAAAAATGGCCACTCTCCTAAGAGGCAGAAGTAGACAGCTAAATTTTATTTTATTTTTATTTTTTAAGACAATGATAAACATGTGAAATACATATATATTTCCTCATTGACTTGTTTGAGTTTCTCCGCAAATTACTGTATTTTAATCAATACATATATTGACAACCCATTCAGCAGAGGAGCTCTCCCAAGGATTTACCAGGGAAATAAATAGATGATACCATTTTCTTGCTTCAAGAAAGACGCAATATAATTTGGGAGATAAGACAGATCAAATCTGTATAATTAGAATAGACATCATGGTAAAGTGGACAATGAACTACTCAAAGTCAGAAGGCTTAGATTTGATTCCTGCCTCTGATACTAACAATGTGACTTGTAAAACACTCAACATCTAGATGTAGCATGATGCAGTGGTTTAGAGAACTTACCTGGTGTGGGACTGCTTGGGTTTAAATCCCACCTCTCCTTATAATATCTTCAAAGTGACAAAGTTGCAGCATCTACTGCATAGGAACCAATAATGATAACGTGGCAACTTTGTCATTTTGTAAATGAGGGTACTGACACACACCTAATAACAGAAAGAGCTAATGTTTTGTGAGCACTTACCATGCACTTTGCGCTGTGCAGACATTAACTTATTTAAGGCTGCGAATTTCTGAGTTTTTGCTGGGTCCCACAAATTTTGATATGTTACATTTTCATTTTTGTTCACTTTAAATTTGCTCTATTTCCCTTGTCTATTTTTTGACACATGGGTGTAATGTTCACTTTCCAAGTATTTGGAGATTTTCCAGATATCTTTCTTATGGATTTCTATTAAATAGTTTAATTTCACTGTGGTCAAAGAACAGGTGATCTCATGTCATTTAAATTTGCTGAGGTTTGTTTTACGGCCCCATACGTGGTCTCTCTTAGTGAATGGTTCA